TGGCTTAATATGTTTAATCAATTTGTTGAACTTTGAATACCTACGATTATTACTTGGTCCCAGTGATTTCTAGGATATTATCTGAAGTGAATGCAGTTGTTGCAAGCCAATCAGAATTTTTTTGTACATAGACTTTAATGTAATGTAAACACGGATTGATTCTTTGGCAAAGCACCATTCGCTTTAAATAGTTTCTGTCCTCGATTTTAACGTCAAATATGTGAACAGCAGTTTAATCAATGTTACAAGCATTCTTGGTTTATATTTGGTTTATATTATATTAGAAAGTTGTATTCAGTTTGTATTGATGGTTAATTTTGAAGTGGTTTTTATAGGGAAGATAGTTGGCCGAAGTCATATTGTAGCGATATATAGAGGTAATGTGACGTATTAATTAGTTCAGTTTTACGTACATATACAGTATCACCGACGATTCTAATGTAGGGGGAAGGCAAGGTGGCGTATGGGTTTCATTGGTTTATGTCAAGAGTCGTTATGGTGCTATAGATAAGGCAAAGTGATGCATTAGTTTATTTGGTTTTTTGAACGTGACGTATATTTTTGTTTATTTCTATATAGCGTTAATACTATATATACTGTGGTTGGAGATGTAAATGCTTTTATGGGAAAATGTATATGACGTGTTTTGTTGTTTTGTATCTTCAATACTTAACTGTTTGTGTATCATAACATATTTGGTTGACCTACACGTGGGTAAATGGTTGTTGCATCGCCAAATTTCATAACTATTTGAGGTTAGCAAGTATGATTGTCATACTTGGAATAACATCCAGCAAACAACATTCCGTGAAAAAAAGACTTGACAAAAAAAATAGCAAGACTTAAATATTAAAAAAAAAAAAATAAAATTTACCATAGCGAGTCGTTATCAATATGTATTCATCCTTCGATTATTATCGCAGACTAGTATAATTTATCTTATTTCCTATTTTTTTGTCAATAAACAACAAAATGCTGTGCGGCACATTTAATATTAATATATGAACATAAAACTGGTCGCATGAAATTTCCATAAAACTTACCAGAAAAGGTAATAGAAAATTAGTAATTTGGGAAATGAAAATATAGAATCGACACATCAGGTTAAAAGTGATGAAGGCGAAGGTTTCTATACGTTAGCCAATATAGGCTTGCAGTTTCGCTTAAACGATTGCCAGTTGAAATTAATTGTCTCATGACTAAGCACAACTGATAAACGAGTAATCACATAATATGACAATTAAATTTGCTATATCAGACAGAATAGATTTCTCGCGGGAGAGATTTAAAGTAGATATCTTTACCTTTTTCATTATGACATTTGGTCTGGGAGCGAAAATAATGGCTGCTCAATATTCTTTGTACAAGAACCAACAGTTCACTACTACGAGTATGTAACACGATATATAACGATATACTCGAAAATTCGCAAGATGAGCATATAATTCGATCATTTCAATTTATAAACACAAGGTATTAGTATGGAATTTAATTAACTTCCTTTAATTAAATAAATATTATTAAAGCTTTATACATATATATTTACAAAATGACGATTTCCAATTATGCTACGCATTCCACTTGTCAAGCAGTATGTCCGAGACTATCCATGGAAAGGATAACAAACAGTCTTTCTCGTTTTCAGCATGCTTGTCGGGATAATTTACCCTATCGTACGTCACCATATACCAAGCCGACGCCTTGGCTTTCGTCTCGTGGTTAACAGGAATCGGTACATGGGTACCAAGCTCATCATCATAGTCATCATCATCTTCTTCTTCAAACCCTTTTTTGAAAATTCTTCGATAATTGGTTATGCGGATAGCCATTTCGCATGCGATGGCATCCCTGACATCGTACAAATGTCGACCACATGTTTTCACGCTTAAAAGACTCCCCGTGAACACTTCCGGTTCAGACTTTATCTTGTGTCGTTGCATCAGGTTACGAACTTCCTGATTATAACTGTCTCGTTGCGCTAACGCATCATTAATGTACTCAATGTAGCCGTCCTCAACAAATCGATCAAATGGTTCAATCGGAAATTTTCTGTAATATCGCTTTTCATTATCGCGATGTTCATTTAAATCTATGTTTCGATATAGTTTTCCCAGAATTTTCTGGGATTCGTATTTGATTTTTGTCTGATTCTCCATAAAGTCAGGAGACTTCTGGGACGTAGGTAACCGCCCTGTGACAGGAACGCCTGGTACGCACTTGCATGTCAATAAAATGCATCCACCAAAATATTGAGAATATATAATTTGTTATAGTTACCTGTCTTGTTAAAGTCCACGGCCATGGATGCCTTTACAATAAATAGACCGATTAGCCTCCTTCTCTTACAGAGCATAATCTTACAAACAGTTAAATTATTGTTTACCTTTATGGCCAAGTCGATGCATTCCGGGGAAAATACTCCAAGGTCTTTTTGATCGGCTAACATCAAGTGGTTATTGCATATCGTCCCCAGCCGATCGTTCTCCATGAAATCGCGAAAAAATTCTGCAATGTCGTAAACAGTTACGGGCCTATCTAATTCTTTTCTTGGCGGGGCGTCATAATCCAGACTTTCGTACGTCTCTGTCGGTATTAACCGCCCATCAAAAGACACGAAAAATTCGTCCCCATCTAAAGTAATAAACGTGATTAAAAATCTGTCTCAAACCAAGTTGTTTTCTGACACGCTTCCTACCTAGATCACCTAATGTAGAGAGTAGCATTCAAGAGTCAGTCTAGATTATTAGGATTGAAATAATAATAACGGCTACGACATATTAATGCTACATACCTCCAGCCATAGAATTGACTACGGGCGAGTCTCCATTTTGTGAGAAAACTATGCAGTTTCTCAGGTGACTCAATTCCGGCACATCTACGGCCCATAATACAGATATGTCGCCTGACAAATTAAAAAACATTATTGTCACGTTAACCTTATTACGTATCAATAGAACATAAATCAACTCGTTGTGAAACATGCAAACTCACCTGGGTGCAGACATGGGTTTCGTGTTACAATAGACCTTCCTGTCCATACACGGTGTTCCCTTCGCACTTTTTTTTCCCCTTTGAAGGATTGATGCTCCGATGTTATAGTTGACGTTTGAACGTATATCTGGTCGGGTTCCAAGATCCCGGTCTCATCCATCACTCCCATTAAAAGGAACGTCGATGGTACCTCGATTCGGGCTTTATTTCTTAAATCTTTTAACGTAAATAGCTTTTTTACTTCGAGCATTGCTTCTAGAAATGGCTCTTCTTCATCCATCAATCCCGCTTTGAGCATTTCTAATATTGTCCTTGTTTGATGTGACCCGTCCCTACTGATCTGGCGAATCACTTCTGCAGCGCGTTTCGAATCCTGCATCATAGATTCGATAAATGACTGATGATTGTTCTGTAGTTCTAGAAACGCACTATCGGGGATTTTGAGGTTCGATAAAAGCAATATAATCTGCCTATTCAAATGTCCCTGCTGAGGGGCTTTTACTGTTTTCGCTATTTCTAGAGTATACAATTCGTACGATTCGAATTTTCTTTGGCTCGGTCGTATGCAGAGAACATCTCCTTCCAACTCCTTGTCAATGGCAACAACGCCCTATAAATAATTCGAGGATCAATAATGATTCAAAAGATTTGCACCTTTGAACAAGGTGTAAGCTATGCGTACCTTACATCCACGGAATCTTATTTGATATACCGACGGAATTTCCTTATCTATAATATCTCGCTTGCCCCAATACCTTTTTATCGCCTTCTCAGCTAGACTGTGGGAGATTTTCCCACATCCGTCGCTGAACACGCGTCCGTTCCGCTCAATATCGTCAATGTCCCTGACTTGGTCAGGTTTGACTTCAATGGTGCCTACGGTAGACGTGAACGTCTGGCCCATTCTGGCTCCAAGCAGTG